AGTGATTTTGAGCACATTTGTGCTTATTTTGCATCTTTTTTATGCTCATTTTGAACCTTTTGTGATTATCTTGCAAATTTTTGTGGTACTTTCACGTCTTTTTGGGACTTTCAGCTTGTATTTGTGGTTATTTTGCATCATTTTAAAGTGATTCTAAGTCTCAGTTTGTGGTGCTTTAACCTAAATTTGCTGCTATTTTACAACGTTGAACATCTTCTCGTGTCCATTTTTCTCCGTTTGGTTGTAACTTTGCTGCTTTGCATGTGTTTTGTGCGTCTTCACGTCTTTATTTGTGGTTATTTTGCTTCTCTTTAATGTAATTTCACGTCTTGTTGTGACCTTCAGCCTGTATTTGTAATCAGTTTGCTGCTATTTTGCACCTTTTTCTGGTGACGTTGAACTTTGGGGACGTTTTGCGTCTTCTTATGTCGATTAATCTCCTCTTTTGTTGTATTTTCTGTGTTTTTTACGCCTTGCTTTGTGGTAATTTTGCTTTTTTTGGTGGTTATTCTGCGTCTCTTTGCTGTAATTCTTTCTACAGACACGATGAGGAGGAAGGACAGATTGAATTTTGATCTTCCTCCACCGAAGCCTCGCGTTTTGATTAAAAACTTTGATCTCCTGGCCTCCAGCTCGCCTCCTTCGTATTTCAGTTTATTGAGCCTTGTGGGTTTAGAAGAAGGCGACGAGCGTCAACGCCTGACGGCCGGACACAGGAAGTGTTTCTCTCTGATATTCGGTCTCTTTGAGCTCCTGCTGCCATCGATTGTCCACAGACGAGCTTCAGATCTGAACCCGAGGCGCTCGACAGTTCTACATTTTTAAGACGTGTTCTTAACCCGGCGGCTCGGATCGGCCGATAATCAAACGCCGTAAATCACTCTGAGCCTGAGTCAACAGTTTCTCCTGCAAACAGCCGCCGTCCTCTGGAGCTGATTTACAGCCTCGAGTCTCCCTCGACCGCCGCCGCCGCCGCCGCCGGAGATCCGATTAGAGATGAACCCCTGCAGCCGCCGTTAACGATCAAGTTAAGCTCCCCGAAGACGACAGGAAACACGCCGCCGCCAAAACCCGCCGCACAGAAACCCGCCGCACGGAAACCCGCCGCACGGAAACCACGCCAACGCCGTAGATGTGAAGCGCCGCCTTCCACAGGAGAAAGAGGAGCGTCGCCATCCGGTCGTATGAAGTTGTTTGGCAGCTGCTCCATCATCAGTAATCAGCGGCTGAGTCAGAGCGACGTGGACGAGCCGACGGAGGCCTGATTCTGTCAGAGGAAAGGTCATCCTCCTGCTGGAGCTGCTCTCAGGATGTCTCAATGTGACGGCAGCCGGAGCCTCAAAGGGCCCAAATGAGGGAATTAGTGGATGAATCATGATTTACACTGACGGCTTTGGTTGATGGAATACAATCAGTAATTAGCTTCAAGTTCAGTTTAAACTCTAATTTGATGTTTTTAATGTTAAAAAAAAAATGTTGTTGAGTGACTGAAGTTCTGCAAAACGAGCAAAAACACGAAAAAGACAAAATCTCTACTGGAAAAGGTGGATTTTTAAAATGTTTGCCGACTTAAAAACGTCACATTTTACAGCAGTTAAGTGCATAAAGGTAACATCATGTGGAAATCAAGTTAAATTATTATTATTATTTTAAATATAACTATGCAATTAAGGATATAACGCAAAAACATTGTGTTAAATTACACAATTTAAACACATAAATATGAACATAAATGTGAAAGTTTAGTGAAATATTTTCCTAAAAGTTGCAAAACACAAAAATCTAATTGGTGATTTTTGTTCGTTTCTCAACTTAAAAACACTGAAACACTCGTCGGAACAAGTTCATTTTTCTGAGTAATGAACTGAACAACGAGCGAATCCTCTGAACTCATCATTTTATTAGAAGTTGTCACGACTGAAAGAAAAGATTAATGCAACACGCTGTTTTATAAAAGTGCATTTTATTTCTACGAGTCAGTGTTGTGGAGCGGCCATCACAAAGCCCTGATCTCCATCCTGGAGAACATCAGTGGAGCAAGGAGGCCAACAAACCTGACCCAGTTCCACCAGTTCTGTCAGGAGGAATGGGCCAGAACTCATCAGACTGTTGTGAGAAGCTTGTGGAAGGAAACCCAGAACGTTTGACCCAAAGTCATAGAGTTTAAAGGCAACGCTAGCAGATACTGAGGAGATGGATGGAAACTTCTGACTTCATCTCATTATTCTTTAGCAAATAGAAATAATGTTGGTCGGAGCTGAAACAGGAAACGTTTAGTCTGATTTAATGTCAGACGGTTTCACGTCTTTTTAAACAGTGGATGCAAACTTCTGGCTTCAACATTTCTTGGACATACGAGTCAGAACACGTTAATTTTTACGATTCATGAACTCATGTTTGTGCTCATGATCCATAAATGATGAAAAGCTGCTTTAACTGGAGACCAAAAGCTTTTTGTACATGAATATAAATATGAAAAAACAAAAGCTCCTGGAGACAATCGAACGGGAACGTCTTCATTTTTAGGAGGAATGAACCTAAAAACGTGTTTGTTGGTTGAACGTTATTAGAACGTAACGATGCCGCTCATGTTTCAGTTAAGAAACCGTTTGTTTTATTTCCAGAGATTCTCACCCTGATGCCGAGCTCCACGTTTTCTCCTCCGTATATCTCCATCCCTTCGTCCAGCAGGCCGATTTCCTCAAAGTACTTCCTGTCCACCACGAAGCAGCCAATCAGAGCCGGGCTCCTGAAACAGGTCAGAGGGAGAACTTTGGATGCTAAACACCTCCTGAACAGACAGATGGCAGTTTGTCCAGATCTGCTCTTTAAAGCCGTAAACACAGAAATCAGCTCTTGGTGACAGAAACCTGCTCCGGTGAACGCCGGCGCCGCCGCTGTCAGAACCGTCAGCGAACACAACAGACTCGGGACGTTTTGAGGAAATCCGGGTGAAGCAGCAGGCGGGTTTTCTTTTTCATCAACATCAAACCGAATCAACAGGAGTGAAAAATAAGTGCGATTAGTATTCATGCTGTCAGCGGCGCTCATCTCCGCTTATCAATATGAACCCGGCGCTGCTGCTGCTGCAGAAACAGCTTGTTTGGGTGAATCTTCCTCCCCGAGGATCCTCCGGCTGGCAAACAGCCAGAGAGCCGAACCCAGAACCGCTAATAGAAACAAGGAGCACGTTCTGCTGCACACAGCTGCAGATAACAGCACAATGAAATCACGATTTACACACTCGTCTCACCGCCGACGGGTTTTATTCAGCAACAAATACAGAGACACCAAGGCGATGAAATAATAAACAGGCAGCTCCGGGCGACGGACACGCAGCTCTAAGGATAAGATCGTATAATATATTAAAGATAAGACAAAAATAAATAGGATGACATAATACAATAAGAGATAAAATAATAAACAAGCAGCTTCCAGGATAAGATCAGTGGAAATATGATGAGAGATAATCATATAAGATGATAAAATAAAAGATAAAATAAGAAAAGACAAGATGACATAATATAATATAGTAAAAGATAAAATTTTTAAATAATTTTTAAAAAAATATAGTAAAAAAAAACAAGATCATACAATAAAACACAAAATAAGACTTAATATATTAAAAGATTAAATAAAAAGGATAAGATAATAGTAAAATATAAGTAATATAATATAACAAAAACTAAGAAAAAAGATATTTAATATAATAAAAAATAAATAAAAAGATAAGATTATAAAATATTACAAAAAATTAAAAAACAAGATAATATAATAAAAGACAAAATCAAAAAATAAGATGATATAATATCATAAAAGAGAAGATAAAAAATGACAATATACGATAATAAAAGATGAAATTTTAAAAATGATATAATGTAATAAAAAAAAATTAAAATATTTTTAAAAATTAAGAAATGAGATGATATAATAAAAGACAAAATAAAAAATAAGATGATATGACATAAAAAAAAGATTAAATAAAAAGACAGGATGATATAATAAAAGATAAAAATAAAAAAAAATAAGATGATATGCAATATTTTTTTAATTGGGAATAAATAAACTTATTTGAATTTAATAACATCAGAAAAACAAGATTAAAGAATAGGATGATATAATATGATAAAAGATACGATTAAGAAATTATTTTTTTAATAATGTCAGCAGGTAGGTTCATTCATACATATGCTCTCATTTCTACATTTAGTGGAAACCAGTCGACCGTCCCATGAAGGCGAGCTTAACAGTTGCTATTTCTGCAGATAATAAGACAATAAATGAGTTTTTCTGAATCTCTGCTTGGACACAAACCTTCTCAGTTTGTTCCAAAGACGCCAGAGTGAGGATTTAGTGACAGCTTTGATGTGCAGCTGAAACTCTTCGCTCCTCGTTTCCTGGAGCCAAAGCAAGCGCCGAGCGCCAGCCTTCGTCTTCCTGCTGCCAGAGAGTGAGATTTAAACCTCGTCTTTATTTAGTCGGAGCAAGTTTCGCTGCATCCGACTGTTTGCTTTCCAGGACGAAGACAAAACAAGTTTCAACAATCAAGAATCGCTCTGATCCGGGAGTCGTCTGCAGAGTTGAAGCAACAAGAGCGCCATGACGGAGACTTCTGTGGAGGTTCATGACCTCCGTCTGGAGTTCACGTACACAAGACGAGGTCAGACTTCAGTGTTAAGGTGGAAATCCTCAGCTGTTGACTGCGTGTTTGGTTCCATGACGCGTCTGTTAGCGTTTTAAAAACACCGTACGACATGCTAACAAGGTGAAAGCCCGCTACACACTGTGAGATTTTCATCCCAGACAGAAGATACCAATCTGCTCAACTACTAAATATCAATGCATTCAGAAATAACTGCAAGCAGAGAGCATTGTGGGAGTTTAGCTGGTCAAGGGGCACCATGATGAAGACTTCTGTGCAGGTTAATGACCTCCAATCAGGACTACGATGGCTTTTGCAACGAGTACCCGACAACGTCTGCTCTCCCTAAGATACGTGGTGATGGATGTAGGAGAAGGATTGACTTCAGGTCTGTGAAGATTCTCAGTCCTCCAGGTCGTGGTTCAGTCAATCGTAGCAGCTGGACTTGCTTGAGTTCCTTGAAGACGTTTCATCCAAGAGGCTTCATCAGCTCTGACTGACTAGTTGGGAGTTCCAGATATCCTGAAGGAGACGCTAACACCTGAGTTTCGGTTTCAGTTGTGATTCCAGTTGTTATGAATAATCTATGAGATTGACTTTAGGTTCCTGAACATCACCCACATTGACCTCAATTCTAGATTTGCGACTTTGTACATCACTCATTTTAAATCGTGGACATGTGATGCAAAAAAGAGCCTAAAGCCGGCTAAACGCTGTGCAGACGAAAGACAACAGTCGTGAGAGAATCGTGGTGATATCGTTGGTCTTCGCTCTAAGTCAACGTCGTACTGTCGCAACCAAAGACAACCTGCGATAAACTTCCGACATGGTCAGAAATGTGGTCTGATCGTCTCACAACTAACCAACCAATAGAAATGCAGGATGAAATGACGTACCGATCAACGCGACGCTACCTCCCTTTGCAAAGCTAGCATCCCATGTTAGCCTCTCTTTCCGAGCCACGACCACGTCCACATTCTCCTCCTTCTCCTTTTTGTAGGGATTTCTCTCCAAACACATAAATGCCACGAGGACGAGGGCTACGTTCACGCTTCGCTAGTTTCTTTAGCGTGGATGGACGCTGATGACGTTTTATTCTTGCTCATATACGTCAACTCACGTACGTCGCAGGCTGTGATTCGGCGTTTTCAATCTGCACACAGCAAACTTCATGTCGCGAACAAAGTTTATCAGATTCACGTCGTACAGCGTAGCTAGCTGCGAACTTATAAGATTGTTAAAATCGCAGCCGGCCTAACAGAGTCTTTAATTTCTCAAAACAGTACATTCAGTCCAGACTCTGGATAATGAGGAACCTTTTTGGTTATTTGTGATTAATAATTCAACTGATTAAAAATAAATGAATCAATAAGAAGAAGGCCGTGCATGTCAGTAAAAGTAGCGCAGATCAGCTGTAGTACCTGGTTGTTCCACCAGGTGGCGCCTCTTACTGTTTGATAGACTTCTGTGGGAATTAATGGATTCCAACAGCTAATGTCAGCTTAAGAACTAACGTCAGCTTTACTTTATTAATCTTAACTGATTGTTAATTGATAATGCCGGCAAGTACTGGTTAAAAAAATGTGCATTCTTACTCCGAGCTGAAAGTATTCCGACATTTCTGACCGTCTTTTGTCCATTAAAGCGCTTAAACCTTTCAGCAGTGACTTTTAAACCGCTTCATTTTGGCCTCAGTCGGTTCAGAGGACTTTATCTCACACAATGCTGTAAACTAGTTCAAATCAAAGCTGCGACTCGACTCTTTTCATGTCCAGAGCCTGAAGAACAAAACCACCGTCCAAATGCTTTTCTCTTCAGTTCAATCAGTAACGAATAAAATTAACTGCAACATGCGCAGCTATTTCAGAAATTAGTCACTCCTTTGACAAAACTGCCTTGAAAATCGCTAAACGCCGGAGACGCTGTGAGGCGGCGCTTAAAAGAAAAAAACATCACAGAGGAGGATAAAGAAGTAAACAATCGGGGCCCATTTATCTTCTTCCATTACAGTATCGAGCAGGATACGTCCTCTTGTCTTCGTCCACATCTATAAACGGCGCAGCATCGATTGGCGTCGCTTTAAACCACAGCAGCAGTCGTGTCGTCCTCCGGCGGCGGCGTGGAGAGGCCACTTCGCCTGATTCTTCCGACCACGTTTATCCGTCACGTCGTGCTGCTGCTGCTGCGGATCGGGATCATTATATCGGACACAACATGCACCTGCTTCACCGCTGCTTCGTCTAATCAGAGCTTTTATGTCACACCTAATGCGCTCCGGCGTCTCCGAGGGTTCACGTCCACGCCGGCAGAATTTACATACGATTCACGGGGATTAGCGTTCCAGAAGTTCTAATGTAGAAATAATGAGATTAGAGCGCGATCTCATTAGACCTGCTTCAAGTCGAGATGCTCGTAATTAACACGGCGCCGGAGTCGCACGTCTTTCACCAGAACCTTTTTTTTTCCTGTCGTGTTTACCTGATGGGCGCCGTGTGGTTGCGCTGCGTCCACCAGGACTTGGGCGGGTTCAGGTACCGGCACCACAGCTCCCAGTCGAAGCCCTGGGCCGACAGCGGGTACTCCTCGATCTCGAAGGTGTCGTACTTGATGTTGTCGAAGGAGGGCGACACCACGCGGGTCCGGTCCTCCTTGATCCGCTGCAGGATCGGTTCCGCCCTGCAGGGAGACAAACGGACTGCGTTTGACCCTCAGAGGTCCCGATGACACCATGAATGAATGAATGAATGAATGAATGAATGAATGAATGAATGAATGAATGAACGGTTTACTTCGGTTACAACCTACAGTACAAAACTCGAACTGTGTGCATCCAGCTGACACAGAATCATCACACATACCTGCATTTACATTTTTTCTCTCTTCACAATAAAATACAAGCAGCTCTGTAACCGAAATGAGAACCGGCTGAAGCTTGTTGTTGCTTCTCCTGTAAAGTCCATGAAACAACCCAGAAAATCAGCAACGCAAAGAAGAAAAAACACTCACTCTAAATTATTCTTCTCATTTCACATGTTGGTTGTTTTACATCACAGTCCTGAATGATTTTACTTTTCAATGTTTTCTTGAAACTCAGCAGAGACCTGCTGAAGTCCACTCCATGATATTACCTCCATATATGAAACACGTCTGTATTTAACATTAGTTCTCACATTCAAAGACGCCCAGTCCTCTTAAATTAGCATTTTTTTCTCTTAATTAAAAAAATAAAAAGTTGAATCCCACTAGGAAGACTTTTATTCTTTAGTCGAAACAGTATTTCATAACGTTTTCAAGACTAGCACAGGTACGGTGATGCCGTCAGCTTCACTCCAAAGTTCAGACTTTAAACTCTCTCATAGTTTTCGTTTCACGTTGAGACATGATGTCATGAATGTGTGTAAAATGTAAGTGTGTCGCATTTCTGTCCAGATTTATCTTTTGCCGTTTAACAAAACGAAAGTAAAAGAAAGTCTATTTTCAGGAGTGGAACCGACAGAAAGAGGAAGAAAGTCTCACCAGCTTTGCATTTAGTTTGATTTTATATCAGACTGATCTTTTCATGCTCACACCTGCAATCTGTGTTTACATTTTCAACCTTTGAAACGCTTCGTTTGTGCTTTTTATTGTCATAAATATTTTTTCTAATCAGATTTGTATATTTTTGTGTGTTTTTGAGCCCAAAATGTTAATATAGTGGATTAAAATGAAAAAATAATCATCAGATCACATCGGCCAGCGGTCTTGAACCTGTTTTGCACCACGGACCGGTTCTAAGCAAGAAATGTTTCTACGATCGGTCACATCATATAAAACAATTGGCTTTGTTTCTATTGAAAAGTTTCATGAATAAATAAAATCTTTTTATTGCTAAATACGTTTTTACGTGTCGAGTCTCTCACAGTTTCCAAAGCAGCTCTGCTCAGACGTTTTCGTTTTTTCGTCCGGCCGTAAAAACTGACAGTCAAGCGCAGGAAACAAGCACAGAAAAGTCATTTTTCAAAATAAAACGCCCTGCAGACTTAAAATAAATAAATAAACAATAAAACTTTTTCATTCTTTCTGTGTGGCCTGGTACCAAATGACCCCCGGCCCGGTACCGGTCCGCGGCCCGGTGGTCGGGTACCGCAGACACAGGAGATGAAAAAACGACACCAAACATGGACACGGTGAACATGTTTCTGTGTGCTTCATGTTTCTTGCTGCCAGATTTTCTTTCTGTTTAATTTTTACACAGTTTTTTTTTGTGTATTTCTGACTCATGTATACATTTACTGTGGTATTTATTTATTTCATGGCATTTTTTTATCACAAGACGCCGATACAACCTGCAGGTTTTCTCTCCTCTGCTGTATTTTGAGGCGCTGCGTGCAGCCAAAGCTGAATAAAACGTAAAAATCTCTGCAGTGCAGCTCGATATCTGTTCGTAGGTGATTCTGCAGCAGCTACAAAACTCACAAGACGTCTGGGAAACGAAACGCTCTTTTGTTTTCCTTTTCCGAACACACATTAATATTTTGCACGAAACAAGGATCGGTACGAGGAAAAGCAGCCCGGATTTTACTTGAGGGAAGGGAAATCAATGGTATCACACATCTCTGGTGGAAGTCAAACCGAGACTAAATAATTCTCTTGCATTTGTCACGAACATCGCTGCTCTGTGTGAGCTGGCAACAGTTTCGCCATAAAATCTTTATAAGCCGGAGATACGACTGCGGCTGTTTATCCGTCCAGAACGAGCTAATTCCAAATTACAAGCATGAAAACAAGGAAAACACGTGTCAAATACAAGAAATGAAAGATCATCTGAGTTAAAAGAAGGTAGAAAGGTGGACGCCGGGGAGTCCGGCTGGATGAGAAGGTCAGTCCACCGGTGGAGCAGAGTGAAGGTCTGCAGCAGAGCAGCTACGATGATCCTCAGGGGAGTCTGAGCAGAATCAGTGGAGGCAGATCCTCCCTGATCAGCCTCGTGGTTCGTTCCCGGGTTTCTGAAGCCAATCAGAGAGGAAGTGGATGGAAAACTGAGCACTCGGATTACATTAACAGAGAGCATTGTGGGACTTTAGCTAGCAACGGGACCACGACAAAGACTTCTGGGGACGTTAAAATCAGGACGCACAACACTGTTAACGCTAAAGCTAATAAAGTTTGTAGCAAAGATGTTCATTTTATCTTCAATGTACAAAGAAATCCTGAAGTCTGTCATAAAGTTTGTCCAAAATTACTCAAAAAAATCCCCAGAATGGCAAAAGATGTGTCAAACATTGATCAGAAATTGTCTAAAATGGCAAACATTTGTCCAAAAGGACTCAAAATTAATCCAAATTGGGAATAAAGTGTCCAAAACAACTTAAATGTTACACAAAATGTTTCCAAGCTGACTCCAAATTTGCTGAAAATGCCAAATAAATAAAGAAAAATGAAAGAAAAGGTCCAAAAGAATGAACACAAATGCCCAAAATGACTAATAAAACACTCAAAATGGCAAAAAATGTTGTCAAAAACTGATCAAAAATTGTCTAAAGCAGCAAACATCTGTCGGAAATGACTCAAATTTGTCCAAATTGGGACTAAAGTGTCCAAAATGAGTCAAAATTACTCAAAATGTTTCCAAGCTGAATCTAAATTTGTCAAAATAACTTAAAAAATGTTCAAAATGGCAAAAGATGTGTCAAAAACTTCACAAAAATGGCCTAAAATGGCAAACATCTGTCCAAAATGACTCAAAATTCATTGAAATTGGGAATAAAGTTTCCAAAATGACTGAAATGTTGGTAAAAAAAAACCCCAAACAAACAAACAAAAAAAACATGTTTCCAAACTGACTCCAAATTTGTCAAAAATGTCAAATATTTAAAAGAAAGAAAGAAAGAAAGAAAGAAAGAAAGAAAGAAAGAAAGAAAGAAAGAAAGAAAGAGATCCAAATTGAAAAGTTTGAAAATTTAGTCAAAACTTGTCTAAAAGTCGTAACAAGCCTCGTTTGCTGCCCAAATCTGGAGTCTGTTGACTGAAACGGTTCAGTTTGTTCGATCCATTATTGATTGAACAGGCTGTTGACCCTTAAACTGGGAATAATATTTTTACTAAACCTTTTCCTCTTTTTCAGATTTTAGGGTCATTAGTGACATAAAAGTGTTAAAACTTGTCAAAGAAAATTCAAACTTAAACTGCAGCTCAATTTAAAACCTTCTGATTCTATTAATATTTTCCTGTCTGGTGTTTTATTTCTGAGTTCAGACAAAGCTCTGGGATTAAACCAAACCTCCGAGGACGAAACCTGCGACGAGCGAAGCGTCGAGGGAATCCTGAGAAAACAAAGACGCTGAAGGCCAGTCGGGGAAAATCTCCTCGCGCGACCAGCGAAGACAATAAAGCGTCTGATTTTGTTCTCTGATGAAATAAAAGAATCTCACGTCTGCTTAATGACGGCGCTGAGAGAATTCACACGACGGAAGATGATCGTATTGATCTGCAGGAGACAGAAATCAGGAAAATAATGGGTTTACGTGCTCGGACTCGCGAGACGAAACGCTGAAGGCTGTCGTTTAAATGCAGACGACCTCCGAGAGTCCCGACGGACGAGAACACCAAGAGGCCTCAGATCGGAGAGACAAGAGGATAACATCAGAGATACGATCATCTGAGATACGATCATCA